AGTTGCCCTACTTTCTCAAGACATGAAATAGGAACATCTTGTAACTGAGTAACGAGAGGACACTGGTGCATTTCATACCTTAATAAACAGAAAACGAAAAAAAAAAACCAACAGAAAACGAGTTAGCTAAACCAGCACATTCACATGATTCTGGTAGAAACAGAACAGACTATCTAGCAGAGAAATCCCTTTACCTGACAGACGTCGTCAAAGAGCCGCTGAGCAAAGTGTGAAAGTACATCGTCTATGGACTTCCCGTTTCCAAATTGGATCACTGTCCCTGTGGCTTCGATGACAGCCACCCGGACTTTCCAGTGCTGGTGGGAGATGGTCTGCATCAGGGGGCTGATCAGGGACTCCGACTGCATGTGGAAGTGGTCTGGGGGACAGGGAGGCACCAGTTACCCCGTTGTGCCTCATGCCACTCAGCTCTGGGGCTGTCAGCATCTGCCATCATCCTCTCCCTACTCAACATGAATCCAACCTGACCCTGAGGGCCCTTGCTGGCCTTCTCTCTCACTCCTCCTGTGGCCCTGATGGCTTCCTGAGCTCCTTAAATCTGGTATGCTTATTCCTCAAGGCTGGTTTCTTACTGGACAGAGATTTTTTAAATTAAATGTTCCTCCTCCAAAGAAGCCTTCTCCAAGCCCTAAGCAGCACCTACTGTTCCAAATCCCAGCCTAAGAAGAGAAAAGGAATATCCCTATAGGGTCAGAGCTGTTAGAAAGGTGAATGACCCAAACGTGTGCAGGAGAGAAGCAGCTTCTCTCCACTGAGGACAGCAGTCCATGCCAGAGACAGGTGGGTTGGAGCAGAAAAACTGAGACAAAGTGGGAGGACTGAGCGTTTCTTCGATCAAGTTCTGTAACCTCTGCCATTAAAGCCATCGTAGGAAGGAGAGCCCAGCAAAATCAACCGACACCAGACCAGCTTAAAAAGGATTTCTGCTGGGAGTCCGGGAGAGAAGCGTGGATGCAGAAGTGACCAGGGCCTCACTTGGCGTAAGGGACAGAGGTCACAGGGAGGGGGCCCACCCGGAATGAGTCTAGAGATGGTGGGGGAGACTGGGGAAGGGGCGGGACCTAGGGGGCTCACCGGGCGTGGCGCGCGCTAGAGCGGCGGCGCACTCGCAGCTCTCTCGACGCACTGCAGCAAAGGGGTCGAGCAGCGCGCTCCGCAGCGCAAGCACAGCGTCGTCCAGGTGGGGCGCGAGCGCGGCACCCCCTAGGCGCACAGTCAGGCCTAGCAGCTGTACGAGCGCCAGACGCAGCTCCTCGCAGGTTTCGGGCGGGGGCCGCGCGGGCTCCGGCCGGGTCAGGCGTGCGGCTAGCGCTGGCAGCAGGCGCGGCAGGGCGTCACAGGGTCGTGCGGCGCGGCGCAGGCCCAGGTCTAGCAGGTGCGTGGCCAGCGCGCGGCAGCCCTCGGCGGGGTCGGACAGGAGGCGCAGCAGGCGCGGCAGCAGCAAGCGAGCCCAAGGGCCCTGGAAAGCGGCGGGGTCGGCGCTGGGCCCCGCTGAATCCTCCAGTAAGTGCTGCAGGGCCTCCAGCGCGCGCCGCCGTCCCAGCTTGCTGTCAGTTTCCAGCCCTGGAAGCAGACGGCCCAACACGCGGCTCAGCTCTGCCGCCTCCGCCAACTCCGCTGGGCCTGTGGCCCTCTCCACCTCCGCCGCCATCTTGCGCGCGTTTCCCGTCGCCAGGGGAACCAGCGCTCTTACGACAGCCGCTGCGCAGATTACGGCATGACTTCCGGCCGACGCGGCTTGCTGCAGGGCACGGGCCTCAGGGGCTGGGAGAGGATTTAAGGAGTGTGGCTGGGTCTCAGGGGCGGGACGCAGGACTCGAGGGACCCGGTCGGGGGTCGGGGCTGGGGGGAGGGGGGGAGAGCGCGTCCGGGACCTATCGCTGACGTTAGGAGCTGGGCTACGGGGCGGGTCGCGGTTTGTGGGCGGGGTTGAGGGTGGTGCTAGATCCTCGGGGATGGGGCGCGCCTGTCCCTGGGCTGGACCCTGCGGCGGCGGCGGCGGCACGCACTTGGTGGTTCCGCGCAGTATGATGTCCCCTCTCTCACTTGTGCAGGTGGGAGCCCACGTGCTCCGAAAAGGTGGGAGGCAGCGGCCGCTCTCGCTGGTGAGTCCCTGACCCCGTGCCTGTGCAGAGGATGGAGGGGTGGGTGACTCGTTGGGAAATCTAGGGGCCCCTTAGCGGTTCCGCAGATCAGGTCCCACCTTGTTTTAGGTCACCTGCTGCGTGCTCAGCATTGGCCCATCATTGGTCCTAGCAGGACAGATGCGCAAAAGATGGGGCAACCAACTGTGAAAATGTTCTTAATTTTCAGAACTGGACTGTTTTTCTAATTTGTTGACATTTTCTAAAATGC